GCTTTTTTTGCATTGTGTATCTTGCAGCTTGTATCTCAATGTATCCAGCTGAGGTAATTTGTCTACACAACTTTTTGTAAGCGACACTCGCTTATTATTATATGTTTTAGGTTCGGTGTTCGAGGTTCGATTTCCAGGGTGGATATGCGTGAGGCATTGGGGATGTGCCACATCAGCAAAATTGAGCAGCCAACCTCTTATTTCTTTTTTTTCTGCTTTTGGCTTGCTTGCCACTGCTTGGGAATTAAATGCGCTGCTTCTTCTTCTGAATGTTGAGCAATTAAAAATATGCGGGTTGTTTCCGAATTATTTTCAACTGAGGATTAAATTGTTAAACTTGCTTGAAGAACTTTTTATTCTTGCAAGCAAAAAGTGGCCTAGAAATGGCTTTAATTATCTGAAAAGTAGTTTTGCGGCAGTGTAAATGCTAAGTTGGCGAACTTTAGACTTAAAATTGAGAAAGATATAGCCTAATACATATATATATATACATATACTCGTATATTGGAATATCTATATACATATACGGACTATATAGCTATGCCGATCTGTGCTGTGTGTTCCCAGCAACCTATCAACAGAATTTTATGACTCTATCTTCAAAACTGTTCTATAAACTGTTTTTATGAATTTGCGATTATTGATTTTATTTTGCAATTTTTTCACTTTGTCTGACGCGTGCAGAGATCAATATATATTCCAATTTTCATATGGAAATACTCTTTCTACTCATTTTTTCTGCATTTCCCTGTATACTCTTACTTCATCAATCGGATTATAAAAAGTTTGTGTTTTTAAAGGCTTTGCTGATTACGTTCTTTTTAGACTCTTTACCTCAATGATGCTGCACTTTAAATAAATAAACAGTTGCCTCCTCAGCATATCTCTGGCCCAGCATTAATATTTATGTTTTTCTTTTTCAACATAAATCAATTAAAATTTAATTAACCCTCATCACCTACACCTCCAACCCCTGCTTCCCTCCTATTTCTCCTTGATCTGAGCGATCTCTGCTAGAAGTTCACTGAACTGAGAGAGAGAGAGAGAGAGAGATGGAAAATTGTGGAGAATAATAAAAATAAAATATTTACTCTAATGATGCACACACGAATAAAATGCAGCCGCAATAAAATATGAAAAAATAACAAGCCTAAGAAACCAAAAAAAAAAAAAAAAGAAAAAACAAAATAATAAAAAACAAAACTAACAAAAGAGGGAAAAATGAGAGAATATCATAAAAAGTGCAATTAATCACCAGAAACCGAAGCGGCTGCGAAAGATCATCAAAAGACATCGATGTGGGGAGAGATACAGGAGAGAGTGGTTGGGAAGGGGGCGAGGGGAGGTTTAAGGTAACTGGTGATGGAGACAAAGGCTGACACTTATCGCCTTTATCTGCTTATGTGTGGCAATGTGGCACAAGAAGAGCGAGCGAGGCAGAGAGAAGAGAAACAACTTATAAATAAATGGACATAAAGAATTAAAAGTATGGGAATTGATTATTTTGCATCTCGAACTGCGGATGCTGGCTGTCAATATTTGATTTTTATATATGGCAATGTCTGACAGGCGCACAGAGTGGTGAAAGGGAGGGGCAGGTTGCAGGGGTGGGGCAAGAAGCGATCGCAGCGAGAAATGCATCGATTTTTAATAATAAATGAAATGTGTAAATAAACGCCTCGGGCACAAAAGCAAGCAGAAGCTGGGAGCTGGAGGAATTGGGTAGGCAAACAGCAGGAAAGCATAAACATGGCCAACACACACACAACACACACACACACACACACACTAATACCGATGCAAACAAACAAAGATGCAGATGCATTTCCAAAGAATTTCTAAGCACATGAAAACAAAAACCAAAAAGAAAAAAATCGAAAAAAATCAAAGCCAGCGGTCAGCGTTGAAAAAATATTTAAAAATGCATAAAAACAAAATATTTATTGAACAAGAGCGCTGGAGTGGGTGAAAAGGGAGGGGGGAGTGCCAGTGGGAGTGGGAGAGAGAAAGGTAGATGCTAACAAGCAAACGTGAATGCACTGTGCGAAATGGGCAGTTCGAAATGATTTTAATGATTTTAATTCAATAAATATAAATATAAGAAATAAATATAAATATAAATATACAAATATCTTGTCATTATTAACACGAGAACGTGAAACATGAAGATGCCTTATAGCTTAAAATATATATATTCTTGATCCGGATGCACAGCGGCGTCCATCTGACTACATCTCAGAGTCTATGATAGCTATATACTTCAAATTTGGAAAATTATTTCTCGTCTACTTAAAGCAGCTCAAGTTTATTTCATTCAATCGATAACTGTCTACGCTTCGCGCTTATCGATACAAATCTATATCGGATAGCCTTCCAATTGATATATGATGAACCTAAATTTATGATTTATCAGCTGTAAATATGCCTTTAATATTGTATAATCACATCGAATTAAATATCAGATATTAGCAGACATATTTAATAGCTCAGCTTGGAGTATCTTTTCATCGAGGTCTCTTTATCTCAGCCTGCTTTAATAAATTTCTAGCTGTGTATGAGAAATATGAAATGCGCTGAGCAAACAACAAGCAACAAACAACAAACAACAACAAGAAAACAATTTGAAATGCGAACAGAGATGAGCACGCTAATGCGCCCAAAGAAAAAAGAAAGAAAAAACCAGTCAAGAGCAAGTCTCTGATCTTGGTGCTTGGAGCTTGGAGCTTGGAGCTCTTAGCCATGTCCCTTTTATTTGATTAATGCACTCGACAAGCGACAATAAACAAGAACAAACGCACATATCTAGCTGTGGCAACTCTGGATTGGGTTTGGGTTTCGGATGGCGATTGGAGTCGACTCGAGTTGAGGCGAGCCGAGTTGAGTTGAGTCGAGTCGAGTGGCAGATCGCGACAGACAAACAAATATCGCATTCCACACAACAAAATCGAATCTGAATGTTGAATGTTGAATGCTCAATTGGAAAGAGCCCTCTGCACTCGGGGCTCGAAGACGCAGATGATGATGATGATGATGATGCTGATGACGACGATGTCTATTAGATAAATAAATATAAATCGTCTTTTATTAAAGTGCGAATTCTGCGGTGCGCTTAATGTGTTGATGCAACTTGAGGCACTTGGGGCAAGGCATTAAGGCACCATGCAGCAGCAGCAGCATCAGCAGCAGCAGGCAGATGATAACCGGTTTGGGGCAACTGTCACTCCAAGATAGGGTTATGGGGCATCATCATCAAATTTGATAAACGCAAGGCAAACAAAATATTTTCTACAGAATATTTTCATAAAATCTGATTTGTTTTGCATCTTTCTTAATTTATCTAAAATATGTGCATTTTATTTCTAATTATGCTGTTCACAATTACAAACCATTAAAGCAACTATTGTTGCTCTGAGGCATTTTAAAATAATATTGAAACAGCCTCCAAGTGATTGTGGCATGGGAAAGCTTCTTCAAAACTGTTTTCTATTTAAATAATTCCTTGATTAATTTGCATTTTAATCTTTCTATTTGTGTCTCTAGCTTGAGAGGCAGATTAAAATGTAAATCATTAAAATGTAAATTTTTGAATTGATTTTTAAATTAATTTATCTATCAATTAATCTTATATCATTTTAGTGTTAAGATAAGCTGACTGCTTGCTCTTACTTGCATTGTTAATTATATATTAAATTATATTTTTTATATATTGTAAAAGTATTTCTAAAATATGTTTACTGATCTCTGGTTTGACCTGAAGTCAGTTGTTTTTTTGTTTTATATTTTATATAGAGTATAAATATATTCTTATATTTATCTATTAAAATATGTCAAGAAACAAAAATGTATTATAAATATAATAAATAAAGTTGTTGGTCATTTTTTCATTCTGACTCGATACTTTTAAATATATTTAAGTAATTTTATTTACATAAACAACACTTAATACGAATATAAACTTAGTTAACCGATCAAGGACATAGCTAGACTTAACTTTAAGCTGATTAAGAAATTATGATGTTAAAATGTGATTGACTATGCGTTCAATCAATCAATCAACAAAACATGAATACTTGCAGTTAATTTTTCGACTTGGTTTAAATCGCAACTGATTAACAAACTAGCAAGAAATAAATGATTATGTTCAATCAATCAATCAATCAAATTCTAAACAATTTTCAGTTAATTTTTCAATGCAAAGCATTTTTTAATAGCTTAATGCACATTTCTCAGTGGCCTATTTAAACTCAATTAATGTTGTGTGTGTGTGTGCCTGTCTGTCTGTTTGTGTGTGTAGAAATCCAGAACGGAACCTACGACAATAAAAAAATGTTTGAATGGGGTCCCCCCAAAGCAACAACAACAACAACAACAACGAATGATCGCGAGCCAAGCAGCAGCAGTAGCAGAAGCAGCATCGGCGGCAAACACGTCGCGACACGTTGCCAGCCACAACAAAGAGAAGCAGAAAGCAGACGACGTGAAGCACGTGAATGCTGTCAATCATTGGCGAGGCGAGGCGAAGCCAACGCAACATTCCATTCGAGCAACAGTCGCGATGACAAGCCTATTCTGTGACGTCACGCGGCGAAATGCCGACGGCAAAAAAAAGTAGCCAGCAGCAGCAGCGGGGCAAAGTCAATGCCGAAGCCGAAACAAAATGAAGATCGCAAACAGTTCGCGCGCGCCAAACGTAAATCATAACAAAGCAGAGAGCGCGCCAGAGAGCAAGAGAGCGTGCTAGCGAGAGAGCGCTGCTGCTGCTGCCGGTGCGTAGCAAGTGAGAGAGAGAGAGCGACGCGTTGATCGCGCTGCATGAATGAAACTTGCACAAGAGAAATGAGCTGCGCTAAAAAGAGAGCGCAGATATGAACGTCAAAGAGCGGGCAACTGATCCATAACAGAGAGACAATTAAAGAGAACAGTGATCGATGACAGTTGATCAGCGATCAATAAACGATTAAAGAGTAAGTCTCAATAAATAAAGAGCTAATTTAACTCACCCGTTCCTCTTCGCGTATCATTTCCGCAATGCCCGGCTTGATCTCCATGTCGTCCGCCAGCGACGCTGACGACGACGCCGCAGCGACGCTGTGATGATGATGATGATGATGTGGCGGCGGTGGCGGCAGCGGCAAACGTTGCTCTGCCGATGCAGCGGCGGCAGCGACGCTTAACTCCATGGCGGCAGCGGCGGCCATTGCGGCAGCAGAGCCCAAAGGAAAACGCGTCTCGGCAGCAGCAGCGCCGGAAGCGGAAGTAGCAGAGTGATGCTGTTGTTGTTGTTGTTGCAGGTGGTGCAAGTGTTGCTGTTGCTGTTGTTGTTGTTGCTGCTGCTGCTGCTGCGGACTGGGCAGCGAGCGTGGGCAGCGACTCGCCACTGCTGATGCTGCTGCTGATGTCGGCGTCGGCGTCGCTGCTGGCGATGGCATTGCGCTGCCGCCGCTGCCTGCGCTGGAGAGGGGCAGCGGCAGCGCCAACGTTTTCAACTCTCTGTCTCTGTCTCTGTCTCTATCTCTGTCTCGCTCTCGCTCCCGTTCGCGTTCTCTTTCGCGCTCCTTTTGCTCCTGCTCCAAGCGCTCGGCGGCAATTAAACTGCTTAACGGACTTGCGGGCGGATTAAAAATGGCGTCCGCCGATGGCCAGCGACGCTTGCGCACATTCCGATTTCGCTCCAGCGGCGACAAACGCAATTCGCCGCAATCCCAATCGCAGCGCAGCTTGGGCGAATTTGTCGCTGTCGCCGCTGCCGCAGCTGCTGACTCCGTCTCTGTATCTGCTGTTGACGCCTCAGCCTGCGCCTCTGCCGCTGCCGCCGCCGCCGCCTCTGCCGCCGCCGTATTTAACTCCTCCATTTGGGTGACATCCGCCAAGCCGCGCACCTTGAGCAGCTCAGCGATGCGCAGCAGCGGCCCAATTTGCTCCTGGCTCACATTGATCTCGCCGCGATACATAAACTCAACGATCGCCTTCAGATCGCACCAGCTGACGTCACGCATTATCACAATCGGATGCTGGCAGGGCGTCTCGGCGAGCAGCGTCTGAAAGTACGGCGAACAAGCCGATAAAACCATTTTGTGCGCTTTCATCGAGCGTCCGTCGCAGGCCAAGGTGACGTCGACGAAGGACTCGTTTTGCAGCAGCTGATCGAAAATTGTTGTCAGATTCGATTGATAATTGTTCCAGCGCAAGCAGAATTGTTGTTGTTGTTGCTGCTGCTGCTGCTGCTGTGTTTGTTGTTGTTGTTGCTGGTGCTGGTGCGGCGAATTGCTGCTGGGCGTTGTGTTTGGCGAACGGCCGCCAGGTGGCGTTGCTGCCGGCGTTACGTTCTTATCTTTGTCGTCGCTGTTATCCTGCTGCGTCGGCGTAGCAGCGCCGCAGCCGCCGCCACTGCGCTGTCGCTGCGCCGCCTGCGCCTGCTCCGTTTCGCCGCTGTCCGTTTGCAGTTCGGCAGCGGCAGTTGCTTCGCTGCTGGCGCTGCTGCTGCTGCGATCGTTGGCGCTGCTCGGCGGCTGCTGCTGCTGCTGCGACGTCTCCGCGGACGCCATTTTGTTGCCCAAGCAGCGAGTGTGCGAGTGAGAGAGAGAAGGAGATAGCGAGCACACACACGTTATCAAAGTCTATTGATCTTCTTGCTGTTCTTCTTCTGCTTCCTCTTCTTTTAACTTATGCATGTGTGCGTGTTTTTCTCTCTCGTTGTGTGTGTGTGTTTGGGTCAACGTAAACACTGCAATTTTAAGTCGCGTCGCGTAACGAGTTACGTATTAGAAATTAACGCTATACGTATGTGTGTGTGTGTGTGTGAGAGGAGTATTTAATTGAATTCGTGTCTTTGTGCATGTGTAGCTTGCGTTACGTTATGTTACATTACGTATGTGTGTGTTGCTTACGTTACGTTACGCGCACAACGTATGGATATGTGTAGCTTTTGTTACGTTACGTTAAGCTTAGTACGTAAGTGTGTGTTGCTTACGTTACGTTACGCGCACTACGTATGTGTGTAAGTGAGCGACTTACGTTCGTTTCGTTACGTCACGTTACGTTACGCGCACTAGGTGTCAGTGTATGTAGCTTACGTTACTTTACGCGCACTACGTATGTGTGTCTGTGTGTGTGTGTGTGTGTGTGTGTGTGTGTGTGTATGGCTTACGTTATGTTACGTTACGTTACTTGCACTACGTAGCGTGCATTTTTAGGCAAAACTGACAAAATTGACAAACATAAATTAATTTTTGTTGTTGTTGTAACTGGAGTCTGTTTGTTTGTTTATTGGCCCAAAACTCTCGTCTGTGTCTCTGTGTGTGTGTGTGTGTGTGTGTGTTTTGTGTGTGTGAATGTGTGTGTTTTGTTTTGTTTTGTTTTTGCTTGTGGGCAAACGGAACGTGCCACAAAAGTCTTTTCAGCACGAGTGTCTGAATTAGACTGAAAACGTTTTGCACATTTTGATACGGAAAAACTCAAAACAAACTTGACGATGACGACGACGACGACGACGACGACGGCGGCGATGGCGATGGCGACGACGTCGATTGGGGCTACGAAAACGCAGAGGCGCCGCTGCTGCTGCTTTTGCTGTTGCTGCTGCTTGTAGTTGCCGCGAGAGTTTGCGAATGCGAATTCGCTGAGTCGTCGTCGCCATCGTCGTCGTCGTCGTCGTCGTTGTCGCGGCAGCGACCATCGCAAGTCGTAAATAGTGCGCTGCCGACGCGTCGCCGCTCGCTGCTCGCAGCTGGCAAATTGCAGTTTGCATTGCAATGCAAAAGGCAAAGAAGGAGCGAAAAATAGTGCGGAGAGCGCAAAAGCAGCGACGGCGACGGCGACGGCAACAGCGACGACGGCGACGGCGACAGCATTCAAATGCCGGCAAAATTCCTTTACTCGGATAACGCAAAACGACGAAACGAAACGCAAAACGAAACGAAACACAAACGAAACGAGACGAAACGAAGCGAAACGAAGTTCGCACGCTCGCTCGCCAAAATGCGACTTCGTGTTTACGCTGCTGCTCTCTCTCCCACACACACACACTCACAGACAGCCGGCTGTCGCGACTGCAACCCCCCACCTCTCAACCAAAAAAAAAAAGTAACGGCAAATGCATTTGCCGAAAATGCTGCGTGCAAGTAGAGTTTGGGCAGGGGTGTGGGAAATGGACTGCCCACATAGATAGGCAATAGGTGCGTGTAATGCGCCTGTGTGTGTGTGTGTGTGTGTGTGTGTGAGGAAAGGCAAGGAAAGAGTAAAGCAAAACCTGAGCTAATTAACAAAAACGAAGAGCATAAAGATCATCATCAATAAATGCCTAGTCATTCACGCACAAACACACACACTAACACTCTCTTCACTCTTACGCGCGCTCTCTCGCATAAGAAAAAACTTGACAGCAGCAGCAGCAGCAGCAAAAAGATTGTTCATTAATTAGTTCCGTTTGTGTGTTGTCTGCTGCTTGCTGCTGGCTGCTCTCAGTTGCTCAGTTGTTTCGAACCCAATTCGCCGCAATCTTTGGCTGTGGCGCTCTTCTGTTTTTAAGAGATGCCAAATTCCAAATGCGCTCTCTCCTTGCTGCTTTGCTTGCTAGCTTGCTTGCTCTTCGTTCGCACAAAAGTGCCTTGTGCAAAGACAAAGCGGGGAGGGAAGAGAGGCTGCTGCTGCTGGTGGTGGTGTGGGAACAAACATTGCACCTGCAGTTTGGAGCGAGGTTTCGTTTCGTTTTGTTTTTTTTTTTTGTTATCGTTGTTTCTGCTGCTGCTGCTGCTGCTGCTTACAACTGTTGTTGTTTTTTTCTCACTCGTTCGTTTGCTGCTGCCTTTTGGAACTGCCCACATTGGAGACTGGCCAACGTGTGTCTGTCTGTGTGTGTGAGTGAATAGTTTCGTGTGTGTGTGTGTGTGTGCGCCTTGCAGTTGTACGGTGCTTATTTGGCATATTATATGCATAAAATAAAGAAATACAAATCTAGCAAAAATAAAATTGCCCACACGCCAGAGCGAGACAGTCGCTTGCGAGTGAAGAGCGCCAGCGAGAGCGAGACAGACTGAGTTAGCCAGGCAGCCAGCCAGTCATAAATTATGCACAAATATATTTTGTGACTGGCAAATGGCGGTTGACTACATTATTTTAAATACATGCAGAAAGAGAGCCAAGCAGCAGAAGCAGCAGCAGCAGCAGAAGAAGAAGAAGCAGCAGCAAAAACAGATAATTAATTGTGCAATAAAAATGATCGAATGAAAAGCTGAGAATAGATTTTTTCAGAGAAGAATTGGCAAATGATTTCAGCAGCAGCTGTTTGCATTCATTTTACGATGACAAAGAAAAAGTCGAAAAACTTGCCAAGAAATGTTAAATATATGTTTAATTTTTAAATGATTTTTTAATGATTCTTGCCAATAAAAAAAAATTGATTTGACAGCGCAACACTAAAAATATTACGACATCTTAAAGTCTATGGCATAATTATACAACACACATTTAACAACGGACAGAACACTTTTCCACATTTATTTAATATATTAATCTTATGCTTTTGACAGAGAAATAAACGTTTTTATACTTTTTTCTAATGATTTTTGTATGATTTTCAATAAATCAACTAGTGGATTATAAAACTTTGATTTGATAGCGAATCTTTTAAATACCATTCACTTTGGCAAAATTATTAAAACATATTTAATAAAACTTGTTTACATTTATTTAGTTTCATTTATCAATCTTAAGAATTTTCATATTTGGAATAAGAGATTTCATTTACAATCCTGTTGCTTTCTGATTCTTTTCTAATTTGCATTTTCTTATGTTTTTCTAAGTAATTTTTGAAACGATTTCAGTATTTATATATTTTTCGTTAGGTGTTTTCCCTTCCAAACCCATTTGACCAATAACAAAACTTCACTTTTATTATTTTCTTATTTGTTTATATATTTTAAATAATTTAAACTTTTTCTTTACTTATTCTGACAAAGGACTTTAGTTTTTTTTAATCATTTTTACCACTGTGCGCGATTGCAAATGCAACAAATTTGGTTGCCACACTAAAACGCAGTACGCACTTTGTTGCACTTGCAACGATGAACGATTGTTGCAGTTGTTGCTGCTGCTGCTGCTGCTGTTATTGTTGTTGTTGTTGCAATACGCAATTGTAGAGAAATGTGCAGTCGCCAAAAATGAAAATAGGTTTTCCTCTATATCCGTGTGTGTGTGTGTGTGTGTGTGTGTGGTGGAGAGGGGGTGTATGGGGGAGGGAGACTCAAAACGCGTTTATACGAAAATTTATGTATTTAACTGTTGACGACGACGACGACTGACGAGCAAAACGATGACGCGGATCTGGTCACACTGGACACAACTGGCCACTAGTCAAGTGGGCAGTGGATGAAGGGGGATGGGCAGGGGGAGGGGAAGAGAGGGAACTGTGTGTGTGCTGGCCAAAAAAGCGACGAAAGGCGAAATGCGACACAAGGCGACAGCCGCCGCAGCGATTCCTCGTTGATCAAGGGGTGGGGGTTGAAGGGGAGGCCTTTTGGGGGGATGATGATGCCTATGGGGGCGGTGGGTGGGGCAGGGGAGGGGTTGGTTAGATTTCGGGAGAAAGACGACAACATTTGAACAAACGACAACGTCGGCAAAGAGGCAAACAGACAACGCATCATCTCTGAAAAAGGGATGTATGAGGGAGGGGAGGGGCAGAGGAAGGGGTTTGTGGCACACATGACTGAACGAACAAGCAAACAAACAAATAAAACCGTGTGTCCGAGTGTGCGAAGGTGACCAAATGGCACAGTGGTCACTCAAAAATATTGAAATTATGAACATATATGAAAAGACAGCAGATTATTAATAGTTAGATAGATGGAGAGATAGATAAATGATAGATAGAAAGATAGATAGATAGATAGATAGATAGATGTACGGATTGATTGATTGGTAGTTGGTAGTTATGCAGATAGATGGATGGAAAATTAATTAGTGGATCAAACATATATTTTAAATAATAAATTCAGAGCTATATATATATAGATATATAGATAAATAGATGGATTGATTGATTAATCAACCTTAGTTATAGCTTAATAGGTAGATAGATAAATAGATAAATAGTTAGATATATGGGTAAATAGATCGATTGATCAATTGATTGATTAGATAGTTAGATAGATGCGTAAAAAGATAGTTGGATAGATAAGCGGACAGGACTATATCGACTCGACTAGCTATGCTGATCGAATATTGGTATACTATATACACTCACAGATGTCTTCTTCTTCAAAATGATCACTCTATTAAAATCAGACTTGCAGATTGAAAGCTTTCGAAATGCATTCAAAATTTAAAATTGCAAATATTACAACATTTTAATTTCTGAATAATATTAAAAATATATTAAGTGAATAAAAAAATGCAAGTAAAAAGTATGAAATAAATCATGCTAAGAGTAAAAATCGAACATTAAAGTGAAGTTCTTGCTTAGGGTCAACTATGAATTGGCGATCAGCCACTGTGCAGGCATCTGCTGGGCCTTCATGTTCGGGGGGATGGATGGATGGGGCAAGAG